ATGGTCTGCTGGGGTAATAATATAGTGTAAAGCGCATAGAGCCTGCTGTTGAGCGGGGATATGCGCTATACAAATGCTATCTATTATTATTATAAGGACTTACAGTGGATAACAAACCATGCGGAGCGAAAACATCCAAGTTGTGGACTGGCCTAAGTAGGACAGAGTGTGTAACGGCAGCTAGGGACTGTATGCACTAGCGGGTCACTGGACGTCAACCTCTGAGCCAGAGATGACCCCCTCCCCCCGCCCCAGTTACACAGGTAACTTCACATATTCTCCGCAAGATGAAATTTTTATTAACGTTATGCTGTATTTGCAAGCTTTTTAAATGAACTGCAGCGAAACATGGCTAGTTAATATACTGCAGCGGAACACGACTAGTTGATATACAGAAGCGAAATATGATTAGTTTTGGGTAGCCTTCAGGCTCGGCACTCAGCAGAACAGAGAGATGAGAGAATTCCTTAATTAATACATTATGTTCCCGGGACAAGGGGAAGAAACTCCGATTTGCTCAGGGCGGTAATCCAGCAACGCCGTTTAAATGATTGTGGCGCGCGATGAAACCTGAGATCTATCCTTCTCCAGAGCAGACCTCGTCTCATTATGTCATTTTCTCTCTGTCTCTCCCTGAGTCTGTTCCTTACCCCCTCCCCCCCCCCACACACACACCCAACGACTCCCCTTTTCTCCCGCCAGATCCATCCCTGTGCCCAATCTTTCTGTCTTCACAATTCCTCACCGTCATTTTCCCCCACCTGGCTTCTTGGGTGCATTTTACTCCCTGTCTGTCTGTCTGTCTGTCTGTCTGTCTGTCTGTCTGTTTGTCTGTTTAGTTTTAGTAAGAGTTTTACGGCACTTGCAACATAATACGATCATATAAGTGCCGAAGATTAGAGGTGTTACAAGAGAGTAACAAACATAAAAAAGAAGGAGGAGAGATCAGGGCGACATATGTTTGATAGGAAAGAAGGAGCAAACCACACCAGAGACCCCGATAACAACCCACTGTCTGTCTGTCATCCTCACAAACAAAGGCTTACATGAGTCCACATATTTCAACTGACAACTTCATCAAGAAACCAGCTGGTGAACTAACAACTCAATACTAAACATTCACAGTGCCCCCCT